AAGTGGGAACATTTCAACAGATACCTCAGAAAAAAGATCATAAGGGACTATTATGAACAAGTATATGCCAACAAATTGAATAATGTAGAGGAAATATATAAATTCCTAGAAAAATATAACCTACCAAGATTGAATCAGGAATAGAAAGTTTTGATAAACCAATTACCAAGGGATTTAATAACCTTCAACAAAGAAAAGCCCAGGACCACATGGTTTCACAGCTAAGTTTTATCAAAGAACGATTACCAATATTTTTAAAGCTATTTCAAAAATTAGATCTGGAGGAAATACTTACAAACATATCTTATGATGTCAGATGTTAACCTCAAAAAAGCGAACAATTCAGAGATACTACAAAAGAAGATCATAGGCTATCATCTCTCAATATTTATGCAGAAATCCCCAATAAAATTTAGCAAACTCAATTCAGCAACACATCAAAAATATTATGTATCATGACCAGGTGAAATTTGTCCCTGGCATGCAAGGCTGGTTTAACAAACTCAAAGCAATCGATGTGATACACATTACTAGATAAAATATCACATGTCATCTCAATTGACATGGAAAAGCATTTGACAAAAGTTCAGCATCCTTTATTAATAAAAGCTCCTATTAGTTTAGGTATAGATGGAAAGTTCCTCAACTTATATAATAAAGGCCATTTATTTTAAAAAAATTTTTATAAGAAATAAACAATTTATTTAAGCAGTTATTATAGTATTCACTAGAAGTTCATTGATAATATGAGATAACAAATAATTACCATTGTTTCAGTAATTCCAACATTTATGTCCTTTGTTCAGTAAAAGTATGTGGGGAAGGAAAGTCGATATCTTTATGTCTTTAAGAAGTATGTGCTCCTAGAGGGTAGGAAGGAGAAATGCGGGGACCTGTGAGAGAGGAGAGGTGACTGAATGATGTGTTTCTTCACTTTGATGCTGTTTTCTATACAGCCCAGTACCTACTTGTAAATATTGGTGGATCCTGAGTGGGTAGAACAGTCAGTCTAAGAGGAGGGCAGATTGAAGATGAAGGTGGGTGGGACAAAGAAGAGCTAATGTAGAGCCAGGTAGAGCAGATGTGTGCAGCTGATGATGGTGAGCAGGGCTGCTTGTCAGATGTGATTTATATTGAATCCTATCACCTGTCTTCATTTATGTTCTTAACTTGTGCAATTTCTTTTCTAGTGACTGTCCAGGAATAAAGTGCCAGGTGGAGGAAAAGTGTTTATTGTGTGCGGTGATATGCTATTACTACTTCCATCTGCTCACAGGCCCTGGGGCTTTACAGCTGCAGGATTAAAGATTAATACAGAGTAACAGATCAAGAGGGTCGATCCTCATACATAGTAGGTGCTCAATAAATGACATAAGTGGTGGAGGGGACAGGGTTTGCATTATGAGACATGAGTTAAGGGATTGGGGGTTTAGCTCATTCGTAGAGTGTTTATTGTGTATGAGGCTGGGGGTTCAATCCCCAACACCAAAATAAAATTAAAATCATGCATTAAGACAATAGTGTATCTTCTAACAGTTTCTGTCTACATTTCAAAAGTATGCACCTTTTTCCCTTCTAAAACAAATACTTTCTGAGCACGTACTAAATGCTTAAATAATTTTGGACATGATACATCTCTCGGTAAAGGCCATTTATGAAAAACCAATAGCTAACATCATGATCAGAGGGGAGACACAGAAAGTTTTTCTACTGAGATCTGAAAGGAGGCAGGGATGCCTACTCTTACCACTTCTCTTCAAACATAGTACTGGAAGTACTAGTAAGAGCAACCAGCCATCAAAAACAAAAGATGTCTAAGTCAGAAAGGGAGAATTAAAATTATCTTTATTTGCAGATGATACTATCCTATATTCAAAGCACTCTTAGAACCAATGAGTGAATTCAGCAAAGTTGTGGGATATAAAATGAATATACACAAATTAGTTGCACTTCTATATGTAAATAATGATTAATCTGAAAAATAAATAAAGAGAAACATCCCATTTATGACAGCACCAAATACTTAGGAATAAATTTAACTAAAGAGATGAAAGATTTGTATGCTAAAAGCTATAAAACATTGATGAAAGAAAAAGAAGAAGAGTTTCAAGGACTATGTTGAATAGAAGTGATGAAAGAGGGCATCCCTGCCTTGTTCCAGTTTTTAGAAGGCATACTTTCAATTTTTCTTCATTTAGAATTATGTTGGCTTTGGGTTTATCACAGATAGCTTTTACAATGGTGAGATGTGTTCCTATTGTCCCTAGTTTTTCTAGTGTTTTGAACATTAAAAAGGTGCTGTATTTTGTCAAATGCTTTCTTTGCTTCAATTGATATAATTATATGATTCTTATCTTCAAGTCTATTGATGTGATGAATAATATTTATTGATTTCCATATGTTGAACCAACCTTGCATCCCTGAAGGAGCCAAAGACATATATTGGAGAAAAGACAGCCTCTTTAACAAATGGTGCTGGGAGAATTGGAAATCCATATGCAGCAAAATTAAACGAAATCCCTCTCTGTCCATGCAGAAAACTCAACTCAAAGTGGATCAAGGACCCAGGAATTAGACCCAGAGACTCTGTACCTAATAGAGAAAAAAATAGACCCAAATCTTTATCACGTCAAATTAGGCCCCAGCTTCCTTAACAAGACTCCTAAAGCACAAGAAATAAAATAAAGAATTAATAAATGGGATGGATTGAAACTGAAAATCTTCTTCTCAGCAAAAGAAACAATCAATGAGGTGAACAGAGATTCTACATTTTGGGAGCAAATTTTTGCCACACACACCTCAGATAGAGCACTAATCTCCAGGATATATAAAGAACTTAAAAAACTTAACACCAAAAACCCAAACAGCCCAATCAATAAATGGGCTAAGGAACTGAACAGACACTTCTCAGAAGAAAATACATAGTCAATTAACAAATATATGAAAAAATGTTCAACATCTCTAGTAATTAGAGAAATGCAAATCAGAACTACCCTAAGATTTCATCTCACACCAGTCTGAATGCCAGATATCAAGAATACAAACAGTAAGTATTGGTGAGGATGTGAGGGAAAAGGCATTGATGGTGGTGCTGCAAATTGGCGCAACCACTCTGGAAAACAAAATGGAGATTCCTTAGAAAACTTGGAATGGAACCACCATTTGACCCAGCCATCCCACTCCTCATTCTATACCCAAAGGACTTAAAATCAGCATACTACAGTATTGCAGCCATATCAATATTTATAGTAGGTCAACTCACAATAGCTAAACTGTGGAGGCAACCTAAATTTCTTGTAATAGATGAATGCATAAAGAAACTGTGGTATATATACACAATGGAATATTACTCAGCATTAAAAGATAAATGCAGGTAAATGGATAAAGTTGGAGAATATCATATTAAGCAAAGTAAGCCAATCCCCAAAAAGCAAAGGCCAAATGTTCTCTCTGATAAGTGGATGCTGATCCATAATAGGAGGGGGGTGGATCATGGGAAAAATGGAGGAACTTGGATTGGGCAAGGGGGAGGGAAGGGAGGGAAGCTGGTATGGGGGTAGGAAAGATAGTGGAATGAGATGGACATCATTACCTTGGGTATATGTATGACTGCACATATGGTATGATACTACATTGTGTGCAATCAGAGAAATGAAAAGTTGTGCTGCATTTGTGTACAATGAATCAAAATGTATTCTGCTGTCATATATACCTAATTAAAATAAATAAATACATTTAAAAAAATAATTGGGGATATTAGCTCAGACTTTGGAGAAAAGCCATAAAAAATAAGGAAATAAAGTCCTGTCATTATATATATAGGATTATCTTAAGATAGACTTTATTATTGTGGTAAAGGAGAACATTTCAAGATCAAATCTTACTGAACTTATGCTAAATAAAAATCATGAGCCAAAATTTATTATGATATATATATAGGAAACTAACAAATAAATTGAAGAACTAATGCCTCAAAAAAAAAAAGAAAGATAAAAGAAAGAAAATGAAGAAGACACAAAAAATGGAAAAATACTCATTATAAAAATTAGGAATCTACTAATTTAATGCAATCCCTTTCAAAATTCCAGCATTGTATTTTAAAAAAATGGAAATATAAAGAAAAATCCTATAATCCTTATGCAACTAAAACAAACTAATCCAAATAGTCATAGCAAATAAAACTAAGAGGAAGAGGAAAAATAAGTTTGGAGGCATCCTACTTCTTAATATAAAATTATATTACAAAGCTATAGTAATTAAAATGGTTTAGTACTGGCTAAAAACAGAAATATGGACCAGTGGAACAGAACAGAGAGTGTAGAAATCCAAGCATAATATAGCCAACTAGTTTTTGACAAGGGCACTGAGAGAACACAATGCGGACTAGATTGTCTTCTCATAAATGGTGCTGGGAAAACTGAATTTTCACATGCAGAAAATGAAATTGGATTTTTAAAAAAAGATGGATTTAGATCTTTGTTTTAAAACATATATGAAAATCACATCGAAATGGATAAAAATCCTAAATGAACCACAGAATTCTTAGAAGAGAATGTAAGGAAAAGCTTATTGACATTGGCCAGTGTTATATACCAAAAGCTACAAAACAAAAAGGGCTTCATTAAATGAAATAGCTTCTTCACAACAAAGGAAACAATTAACCGAGGAAGAGACTACCTACAGCATGGGAGAATATACTTGCAAATCACAAATCTGGTAGGCGGTTAGTATCCCAAATCTTACAACCAAATCTTACAGCCAAACAAATAACCTAATTAAAAATGGGCAAAGAATCTAAACACGTGCATCTCAAAAGACATAAAAGTGGCCAAAAAATAGATGACAAGGTGCTCAACATCACTAATCATCAGAGGAGTACAAATAAAAACCACAATGAGATATCACCTCACACCCAATAAGAATGGCTTTTGGGTACACATCCAAAGGAGGTACAATCAATATCTGCATTGCCATATTCACTACAGTGTTTTCCCCAACAGCCAAGAGATGAAACAACCTGAGTGTCTGTCAATAGATGAACAGATAAAAACAACAACAACAACAATAACAACAACAAAAAACCTGTGGCATAAATACAACGGAACATCATTTGGCCTTAGAAGAAAGGACATCCTGCACTTGCCACAACATGGTTGAGCCTGCAGGACATTAATAAGCTAAGTAGTCAAAAACAGAAAAAAATGTTGCATGATCTCATTTATGTGTGGAATCTGAAAAAGGAAAAAAATGCACAGAGATGGAGAATAAAACAGTGGTTACCAGGCTTGGATGTGAGGTGTGTTTATGTGATGGGGTAAGGGCTGGGGGAGTGGGAAGGAAGGTGTAGTTGGAAAATATAAAATAGCAGATATGTAGGATGAAGAAGTCTAAAGTTCTTCATGTAAGACATGAACACTATAGTTAATAAAATTGTATTGTAATAGGGACTTTTGTTAAGTAAGTAGAGTTTAGCTGTTCTTTTCACAAACAGTATCTGTAAGATGATGAATATGTTGATTTGCTACCCTACGTAACCATTTTACTATCTATATGTATCTAACAATATCATGTCACACAATAAAATTTATTCTAAAAAAGAGCTAGAAATTCTGTTTACCATCTTATTTTTGTTTTTGTCTGTTTTCTGTGTATTTACATATTATGGGAATGCATATTCTGTGTTTACATATTCTTCAATTTTTGTAAACATTTCACTAGTTTTAGCAATTTTATTAAGTTTCCCTAAGCTTAGTTTGTAAGTTTAGATAAAGGGTGTCTTGACTGAGTTCATCAAGTTTGCTTGAATCCTAAAATTAGATATTTTGGTTAGAGAGTAATTCCAGTTTTGCGGAGAATATTCTTTCCAGGTACACTCATTCCCAAGAACAGGTTTGGCTGGTAAATTGGCAGTATTTGAAATTATCCTCTGTACTTAGCACAGCTTTTTGTGTTTGGATCTTTATCAGTATATCAGATTTTCTTCATCCTTATGGTAAGTTCTTTCTCATAGACCAGGAAAAAGTCTTTTTTCTAAAATGTGGCTTCTCTCTACCATAATCAACCTTCATAGTCATCAGATCAATTTTAGTACTATATACATGAACCTCAGTCAGTTCTCCCCATGAAATTCCTGGGCTCTTCCCCAGCTCTTCCATGGCTCTCTTATGTCATCACTTCTGAACTAAAATGTTAATTTCTCAATAATGTATTCCTGGACCACCCTGTTAAGATGGCAAGCCCTATTCCTACTCCCTCTACTCACTTTGTGATTTCCCTAGTTTCAAAATCACTTAACATTCTTTGATGTAATACATATTTTGTGTGCATACATACATAATATATGTATCTTCTATTCTTTGTTCATTGTGCTCACTGCTCTGACTCTGTCCTCAGAAGAGTTCTTGGCACATAGTAGGCACTTAGGAAGTTGCTTAGGAAGTCCTACTATGGCTCAGCCAGAATACTCTGTGACATCGTGTTTAGAAGTTTGCTCTGATAGATATTTCCCAGCAAGACACTACCTTAGTCACTCACACTGTAGACTTTGTGGACTGTGGGTCATATGGTGTCAGGAGTATTCTCTTGAAGCTCATCCATTCTCATGTCTTGAACATTGCTTCCCGGTATTTCTATAGTTTCTCTTCTCTTCAGTTGATCAGTATGTTCATTTCCAAAAACCAACAGTTTATACCAAGCACAGAGGACAGGTTTTGGGAAAAGTAACTCTTTCATTGATTTAACAAGTGTTCTGGGCTCTTTCCTTAAGGATTTTTTATTCTACAGGGAGAGAAAAGCAGCTAGTGGGTCAGGCATATGATGGAGCACACAGACAGCATATCAAATGATGGGTTTGTACAGTGTCCCTTTTGTGACAGGGTTAAAAATATTATACATGAACTCAGCTTCTGATTTTAAGAAGTTGAACACCAGAGGAACATCCGCTTGTTTCACAGAGGGAACTGTGACTCAGCAAGTAGAGCCAGCCCAAGCTGAAATCTGAAAAGAATGGGTGGAGAAGTTGGAGCAGGTCTCAGGAAATGTGAGATTTGCAAAGAGAAAGAACTGAAAAAGGTTTTGAAGACATAGGCTGTATGCTCTGCAGCTTACTGCCTACTCCCATCCCAAATCCCTCCAGATTACATCAGTGAAGATCCACATTGCACAATTTTCCTAATTTATTTTTTTAAAGAAAGATTGGAGTATAGAAGGGCAGCTACCCACAAAGGAACAATTTGATGATAGATGGAATTTGTACTCTCCTGAGAGGTGTGGCTAGAGACTAGGTGCCCTTTGCTGAGGCTGAATAAGTAAGCAGTACCTTTTAGACATTCTGGTAGAGAATATACCACACCTCATAGATGTTGTTGAGGATTGTGAACAGGAAAATGATATGATGAGGATTGCATTCAGAACTCAGGGACCCTTGACCTCTGAGCCACATCCCCAACCCTGTTTTGTATTTTATTTAGAGACAGGGTCTCAGTGAGTTGCTTAGCGCCTCAATTTTGTTGAGGCTGGCTTTGAACTTGTAAAACTTAGCCTCAGCCTCCAAAGCTGCTGGGATTACAGGTGTACACCACCACACCTGTCCAGAATATTTTTGTAGTAGTCCGTGATCTCTGTTTTAGAGTTAGAAGAAACAAAATACACACTATATGTATTTGAAGGTGTGAATTATATTATGCAAGATTATCAGGAATGATTTCATGTTTCATTTCCCTTAAATATGCAAAATTAGTATTCTCCTGGATATGGTTTTATATTGTTTTCAAGTTACTTTTTTTTTTGAGAGGAACACATCTCCAGTTTCACATGGTAAATCAATGGGAAATGGAAAATGGAAGCCAGAAAAAGAAATTCCATTCACAATACCTTAAAAAAACAAGAACAAAAACAAAAGCAAAGAATAAACCTAAGAAGGAGGTAAAAGACCTCTACTATGAAAACTATGAAACGCTAGAGAAATAAATAAAAGAAGATACTAGAAGCTGGAAAGACCTCCCATATTCACAGATAGGAAGAAATGATGCCATTGAACTAGCAATATTACTGAAAGATATCTAAAGATTCAGTACAGTCCCCATGAAAATTTCAGTGATGTTCTTCACAGAACTAGACAAAAACACTCCTAAAATTCATATGGAAGAACAAAAGACCCACAATAGCCAAAACAGTCCTGAGAAAAAAAAAGGATAATGCTGGAGGCATCATGATACCTAATTTCAAAATGTACTCCAGAGCCATAGTAACAAAAACAGCATGGTTCTGGTATAAAGACAGGCATGTAGATCAAGGGATAAAATAGAAGACAGAGACAAACCCACACAGCTACAGTCATGTGAATCTTAACAAAGGTGCCAAAATGTACATTGGAGAAAAGACAGCCTCTTAAACAAATGGTGCTCAGAAAACTGGATATCTGTGTGCAGACGAGTGAAATTAGATCCCTGCCTTACATCCTGTACAAAAGTCAACTCAGTGGATCAAAGACCTAGGTATAGAACCAGAAAATTTTGAACTACTGGAAGAATACATAGGGAAAACACTCCAGCATGTAGGCACAGACAATGATTTCCTAATGAGGATGCCTGTAATTTAGGAAATAAAACTAAAAAGTGATAGATGGGATGACATCTAGTTATAAAGCTTCAGCACAGCAAAGCAAACAAAAGTATGAAGGTAGAGTGTGGGAGAAAATTTTCGCCAGCTATTCTGAAAGAGAATTAATATTTAGAATATGAAAAGAACTAAAATATTAACAAAGAAACAACCCATTCATGGGAAAATGAACTAAACAGACTCACTTCTCAAAAGAAGTACAAATGACCAACAGTTAATATGAAAAATGCTTAACATATTTGGCCAGTGGGAAAGTGCAGATCACAACTATATTGAGATTGCCTGTCATTTTAGTCAGAATGACTATTATCAAGAATACAAACAATAATATAGACTGGTAAAGATGTGGGGAAAAGGAACTCTTACACATTGTTGGTGGGTCTATAAATGAGTACAGCCACTATGAAAATCAGTATGGAGGTTCCTGAAAGAACTAAATATTGAACTACCATACAGTTCAGCGATACCACTGCTTGGTATTTATCCAAAGGAATTAAAGACAGCATACTTTAAAGATGAATATTGCAAAACAATTCACAATAGCCAAGTTATGGAATCAGGATTGGTGTCCATCAACTGATGAGTGGATTAACAAAAACATCACATATATACACCACTTCTTTATTGCTGAGCTTTTTTTCCTGCCATAAAGAAGAATTAAACATGTCACTTGCAGGAAAATGGATAAAACTGGCGAGTATCATGTTAAGCAAAATAAGCCAGACTCAGAAAGTCAAGGGCCATATCTTTTCTCTCATATGTGAAAGCTAAAGAGAAAAAAGGAGAAAAAAGGGATGTTAGGAAAGTAGAAGGGATAATTGGAGTAGAGGAAGGGGAAAAGTGGGAGGGAGGGGATATGGAAGAATGAAACTGACAAAGTTATGTGCATGTGAATATATCACTCTGTGTAATTAATATGCACCAGTTTTTTTTTTTAAATTGAGATCTACAAGTTGAAATGTATTTTGAGACAGCTTGTCTGGAACTGGTAATGGGACTCTACCTGCATTGTCCCCTTTTCTGCATCGCCTCTCCATTGGAGACTCTGCCAGGTCAATACCATCAGATAGCACTGACCATGTTTGCCAGAAATAGCAGAGAAGGATACATTGTTCTTAACATTTTTCTGTCATATCCTTAATCAAATCGGTTTTGACAGATGACTGAGTTGCACACAGTGTTGACCTTGGAAACCTGCAGCAAGTGGGGTTTGAGGACTCTTTTGGGGCTTCATTCCTGCTTAGAACTTTGCAAATGCAAGTCCATTCCACATCAGAAGTCATCTGCTAAGTTAAGGCCATGTATCCCACATCTGTATTGCTTCTGTTATGTTGAGGCAATGTCTCCTGTTCTTAAGCCTTGCGGGAGTCTCACATGCTTCTTTCCCCACCACACTGAAGCACTTAATCCCTCCGGAATCTCTCCACTGTGCCCTTCACCTCCAGTTCATGATTGCTGTCACCACCATTCCTGTTATCTGCGTCACCACCACTACCACCAGCCTCACCACCACTAGGATCAGCACTGCTACCCAAAGTACTCCTTGCCAGGATACTGTGCTGAGTTCTTCACCTACCTGCTCTGCGCCCCCCAAATCCTAACCAAAACCTTCTGAGATAGAAATGAAGTCAATTGGAACCTCAATTCCCAGCACAGATCTTGTCATGTATAAGACCTCAATAAATGTGTTGATTGAATGAATTCTCATTGCTCAGAGGAGGAAATCAAGGCTAAGTAATTTTCTGAAATTAAATAGCTAGTCATTTTCTGTAGTTTGAATGTTTCCTTTTAAACTCATGTGGAAATTGAATTGCCATTGCAACAGTGCTGTGAGGAAGGGCTTTTGAGAGGTGATTAGATCAAGAGGGCAGAATGGATTAATGTCATTATCATGAGAGTTAGTTAGTTATACATAAAAGTTGATTTGTTAGGAAATCTGACTAAACTGACTTTTCTATCTGAATCATGAATGGTTGCTTG